AAATATTCAGGCCTTCTCCTGCAAAGAGCTAAGATAGGTACAGGACAGTCTATTTTTGCACCATTTCACAAAAAGTCTCTACGGTGCGATGCATTTGCAACATATCAACACGGCAATCTGTATTATTTCTAATTTCATAGTTTTATCATTTCTGTTTGAACTGTTCACTTAATAATATCACCAAGCAAGCCATTCTGAGTAATTTCTTTAAAATGTATAACAACACTGGAGAAACTTTACATGTACATCAGTGGGGAAGAGCTCCTATCTTCATCTGTGAATAGTAACTCAGGGAAAGTAATTTCCCTTTAGCAGGGCTCAATTCTCCCCCCAACCAAAACCTAAATATCTGTCATAGAAATTCCCAATGTCTTACAGAGTCAGACACCTGGAGAGGCAAATGACAGTCCACACCATGTGACATTATGCATTTGAACCTCTAAAACCAGTGTGTGGACCCCCAACCAGGATTTGAGGTCAGCATGACTAAGGCTATGTTCAGCAAGACTAAAGCTAACTTTGCAGAAGGCGGCTGAAATTTTTAGTAACACTGGAATATCTTCCTATTACCTTCCCTTTTCTGACTTTTTGAAGACCTCCTACAGCTCTGTCCAGTCCCAAAGTGGTTGTGAAAGCCCCACGTGTCCTACCCGCACCAGGATCAGCTCTCACCCTACTTGCAGGCTTGGTATTCAGCATAATATAACTTTGCCTTTTAGCCACTTGTTCCCACTGGTTCCCCTAAGAAAATCTGCTCAGAAATTTTCTCCTTGTGAACTTCTTGCTGCGAGGGATTTTTTTTTTGTTGTGATTTAGTCAAAATATCAACTAGAAAAAAAAGGCTGAAAAGAAGGAGAAGTCAACAGATGATACGTGAAATCATGGTCAGTGTTGCAGCTCTTGAAGGGAAGACACACAGGCACCAAAATGGCATGCAGATTAGGGTATGGGTATGGGCACCCCTCTTCTGGTGCTCCCTGTGAGCCATTACAAAACATAATCGGGGGGGGGGGGTGGTGGTGCAGGGGAGGAAATCTTCCAAAATTTCTTTGAGAGAAAATATTGTACAGAAAATAGTTAAAGATTTTTAATTTGCAACTTCTGCTTCAAAAGCAGCTACTGCAACCAGATGCAGTTTTGCAAATGTTATCAGCTTTGATTATAGGAAGCTCCTCTTCCTTGTTTCCCTCTAAATGAGCAACCAAACAGAGCTGCTGACATTCCAGATTCTTAATCTCTCCAAATCTTACTTAATCCTAATACAAGCCACATAGAATCTTGTTAAAATAGACTTGTTAAGATGTGGTTCAAACTTGCTCCTTGGATTTGATGCAAGCGAAGGCCTTCTGTAGAGAGGTAAGTTTGGCCCAAAGCACTGTGAACTGTCAGCCAGGTCCTGATTTTCCCCAAACCCAACATTTTGGCAGCAGTTTCAAGAAAATCTTAAGTAGCATTTTTACTGATATAAAACATGGCAATACATAGTCAAATTCATCAGCACTATTTGTTCTAAGAATAATGATTAAAGGACAGACTCAGTGTTGCTGTGTTTCCCAGTGGTTTTTTTTCCTCAGTTTCAGATGACCCATTTGCAATGGGCCACTGAATACTATATTTCAGTGCATGTTCTTGACATATCTTTCACACAAAGTCTCCAAACACCGCAGAAACATTCATAAATTAAGCTGCAAGAGCAATAATAATTTCAGCATCACATTCACAGGACCCAAGTCTCAAAGTCTTCCTGAGTATCTGTGGCAGATCTAAAAATGAAATTCAATCTTGCAATCACTTTGAATCATGCAATCACAGAGTCTAATTCAGGTTGGAAGGGACCTCGGGAGATCATCCAGTCCAACCCCCCTGCTAAAGCAGGCTCACCTAGAGCAGGTTGCACAGGACATGGTCCAGGCAGGCTTTGAATATCTCCAGAGAAGGAGACTCCACAACCCCCCTGGGCAGCCTGTTCCAGTGCTCTGTCACCCTCAAAGTAAAGAAGTTCTTCCTCATATTCAAATGAAACCTCTTACGTTTCAGTTTGTGCCCATTGCCCCTTGTCCCCATTGCCCCTTGTGCACCACCAAGAAGAGTCTGGCTCTGTCCTTGTGACATCCTGGTCTCTCTCCTACTGGTCAGTCTCTCTCCTGTCCCAGGGCCCACAGCTGGGCACAGGCCCCTCAGAGATCCTCAAAAGCCAAGTGGAGGGCAAGGACCCTTCCCTGGACCTGCTGGCTGCACCTGTGCCAGCACAGCCCTGGAGGTGGTCAGCCACCTTTGCTGCAAGGGTGCACTGCTGACCCCATTCAGCTTGCTGTAAACCAGCAGCACCCAGGGCCTTTTTTGGCAGAGCTGCCCCTGGGCAGTTGCTCCCTAGCTGTTACTCCAGCAGGCTGGTTATCCCAGCCCTGTGCCGGGAGTTTGCTTTTACTTTTGTTGGACTTCACTACCTTTCTGTCAGGTTGTTCCTCAAACTGTAAAGGCTCATCAGAAGAGCAGCTGTGCCCTCCAGTGTATCAGCTGCACCCCAGTTTGGTTTCATCATGAACCTGGTGAGAGCGCACTCCATCCCATCAATCAGGTTACTAGCGAAGAAGTTAAACAGTATTGGCCCCAGCAGAGATAAGTGCAAAATACCACACAGCATGGATTACCCGATCCCTGCCAAACTGCCTCCTGCCCTATAGTCTATCCATCCAGTCCATTTTTTCTCAGGCTGATGACCAGGATTCTATGAGAGACTATGTCAAAAGCCTTGCTAAGGTCAAGGTAGACAACATCTGTTCAGCTGTCATACTCAAGGACAGTAATTTGTTCAGAGAAGGTGATCAGGTATGGTTTGCTCCTGATCAGTCCATTCTGGCTAGGTCCTTATTCCATGAAAAACAGCACCATCACTTTCTTGGAGACTAGCGTGAGGTTGATGGGCTCGCAGTTCCTCGCTCTTACCCTTTCTGATGACGGCTGTGACATTTGCCTTTCTCCAGGCATCAGGAACCTCCTCCAGCCACCACGACCTTTCAGTGATGACAGACAGCAGCTTCATGATGACACTAGTCAGCTCCCTCAGCAGCCTCCAGCATGTCCTGTCTGGTCCCATGGTCCATCTTATTTAAATAGACCATAACTCCATCCTCCCCTACTGCGGCTACTACCTACTTCCCCCAAGGTTTGCTTCCGGGAGATAACCTCAGAGGCCTGAGAGCAGACTCTGACAGTAAAGCCTGAGGCTTCACGGAGCAGTGGGTCCACACTTGCCCTGGTTCCTTCTCGTTTTTGCTGCTGATGCACTCGTAGTAGCCATTCCTGTCCTGCCCATCCCTCAGCAGTTTTGATTCCAGCCAAGCTTTGACCTTCCTCATTCTGTCCCTGTGGCTGGACAACACTTCTGTGTTGCTCCTTGGTCGCCTGTCCCCATTTCTACCTCCTGTCTGCTTCCTTCTTGCATTTAAGCTCAGTCAGGGGCTCATCTGTCATCTCAAGTTCCTGTTACAGATTTCCCCCCTAATTTCTTTGAAATCTTATACCCAGTGGCATAACTCCCCTTCACTTCAACAGAGCTAGAATTTTACCACCCTTTAGAAATTACTACTATCAACTTTGTCACCTTGATCATAAAATTCTGGTTTGCTGTCATCCTCTATTACAAATAGATGCTTCTGCTATAAATTTTTTGTTTGATATAATTAACCTGCACCTAAAAATATGACAGTTTAATACACAACTGCTTCTTGTGTCATCTTACAGCAGCAGCCTCCCAAATATGACCTAAACAATACTAATTCACGGTGACAGCAGATATAATCTTAGTCTTCCACAGAGAATTTTAGCAACTGGAAAATGTTTTCCAAGTGTCTTCAGCAGTACACATGAACATTCAGCAATGCTATCTTTACTTTTCAGAACTAAACCAGCGTAACTGAATAGCAAACTAGAACTCTGTAAACTTTTTTCTTTCCAACATAACCTGTAAAGACTTGAAGGTTAAAGACAGCAATATCAAAGGGAGTCCTTCTGGAAAGCATTAACTCCCAAGAAACAGAAAATAATAAAATAAAATTTCATCCCCATTTTTGAGATGATACCGGAAATTTTTCAAGCCTATTTTCATAACTTCCCAGACAACACATTCATACTCAATCCCTAAACAGTGTAGTTTGTAGCACCGTAAAATGGACAGGAGAACTGACAAATATGAAAATGATGTGGTGGCAAACTTACCTTCCTGTTCAGAAATATCTTTCACTAGGAAACATTTACACCAGTTTCTCATATACATTGCTTAAGATGTGAAACATTTGAAAATGGTTATTTTCAGATATTTAAAAGATTTGCTTGCAAGCAAAACTGAATGCATGTTAGATCATTCTCTCTTCTTTCACAATTCAATGTCAACAAAAACTTGGCACTCACTGGTACTTAACACATCTATTTCTCTTTCCCACGTTTCACAATTCAATGTCAACAAAAACTTGGCACTGGTACTTAACACATCTATATCTCTTTCCCACACTGCTTTCCATGCCTGCTTTCTGGCAGCTCCTTCAGTCTAAACCACCCTCCAAACCCTGGTGCACTCAGGTTCTAACTTCTTCCTTCAGAAACACCCTGAGCAGCACTCCTTCCAAAGAGCTCAGCAAGTAAATCTTTCTAGAACTAACTCTTCCTTCCCTGCTTGTCTTATCACAGTCCACTTCCTCCTCTTTTATAAGAAATGTGCAGCAATAAGAACAACAGTATCTCCCACTCTTCTGTGATGAGAGCTTACGCCCAGCTCCATATTCCTTCAGAACTCCCTCCCCACTTACTCACATGGGATCTCTCTCAGTTCTGGGTAAGGAGATTTTCCCAACACCTTCACAAAGCCTATCAGTGTTACATTACTTTGTATATCTTAAGATTTGTCTTTGTCTCTCTGGTTGTCACTTCCCCAAGGCAACGGGAATGTTTTCCTACATGTTCTCTTTAGCGCTGATTGTATCACACAGATAATTTTTAATTACCTTTCTGTTCAGAGCCACACCATCTTCACAGTCCAGCACTGCACAATCCACATCTAGTGACGGGATTTTTCGTATCTTCTTTTCATCATCCGCAGGTACGTACAGCACAGCTCGCCTGGGAACATACTTGTGAGATGATGCAAAGTGGTAACTGAGCTTAGGAACACCAGCTGGCAGAGGAGAATCCACCCTGCAAAGGATATTGTTGAAATTAGACTCTTGGCTATAATGCTGTAAAGAATACTTGACTATATTTTAAAAGGGAAACTTGCCTACCTAGATAGTGGCTGGTTTGGGGTTATTTATATTTATTTTTTTTTCATTTGGAAGAGCCAAGGTAGAGAGATACCAGTGCTACAGTTAATTACAGTATAAAACTCCAAAACCACTATGTTCAACAGAATTTGCAAACTTAAACACTCAGAACTGAAGAACGGCTAGGACTGAGATTACCCATGCACACTTAATTACACTGCCCCTTCTGCGCGCTGTGGTAAGTGTTAAATACAGAAGGGTGGTGGTTGCTTTTTCCCCGGTGATAGGACTCCTCCGTAGGCTGGAGGCTGTGCTGGGAACTGCTTTAGCGAGGGGGCTGCTATCGGCCACGTTTGCTCCAGGAGCTGGGCAGCATGCTGTGAATGAAGCAGGGGTGTTGGTTAAAGCAAACATGGTTTTGCGACGTCGATTTTACAACCTCGGTGTTATATCAACAAATGTATTTGCATGCAAATTTTAAATAAGCAAAATGGAGGAGGAAATGAGGAAAACAGGAATGAAAACTCTATGCAATGTGGACCCTCACTAATCCCAGCACGTCCTCTCAGAAGCCTTCAGACCTTCAGGACCGCAACACAGACTTCCATCGACAGAGCTCATAACCCACCCGCATAAGCAGCAGGCTGTGGGCTACGGTGCCTTTAAAAATTGATAAATGCTTTGTGCACCACACTTCAGTGCAGGTGTGAGCCTGTGGTGCCACATCGCTTGAGTGGGTGGCATCCGTGTGGCCGTAGGTGTCAGGTTTGTGGCTGTGCTGGTATTCCCCGGTGAGGGACCAGTTAACCCACCCCAGGAGCGAGCTGGGTCGGTGCACTTGGAGGCAATGGGGCTGCCAGGGGAGCTTGCTTTGCTCCATAATTACAAGCACAGAGAAATAAATTGCAGAGGGTGCCACTATGTTCCATGGCCTTCTGGAAAAACCCCTTGCCTACTCCTGTTCCTCCCCATTTCATGCTGTACCCCCCAGGCCTATTCTGCTACATCAAAAATGAGGACAAAATAATACAATTTGCCTTCATACTCAGAGCACAAGTCACTTATGCCACAAAATAATCCTACCATATAACACCATTATGCATTATCATGTATATTATTCAGCACTTTGAATAATACAAAGCTTTTCTAGCACCACGCTGAACATGTCATTATCGCATCATGTCGGGGACCCATGCATTTTCCTATGCCCCTCTTAATAATGCTTCCCAAGTTGCTACGCTGGGATGACACATGGCTACATGTGCACGTGGGTTTTCTTCAAAGTGAACATGACTAACCCCCTCAAATGCTTGGAAATGAGTTCAGTCAATCTAAATCGGAGCCAACATGATATGTTGCTGACAGACCACTATGATACTTGCCTTTTTAAGCTAACCCTGTTGAAGAACCCTCTCTTCCCCCACAGCGAGCACCCTAAAAGCTGGATATAGGTCTTGGGTTAAAAATACAAAGAAAACTTTTATCACATTTTATTTCAGTAAACTACATTGAAAAGGATGACTATTCCACCGTCTCCTCTGCTGGGTCTCTGCATGTCCTGGGTGGACTCACTTTATGGGCCCACAGAAACCCGCTGCCAATCTCGTCTTTGTAATATGCCTGGGTAATGCTTAATTCAGCCTAAGCAACAGGGCGGCTTTTCCGTTAAACATAAACAATGCCTTATTTTAATACAAGTGCCAGTGCTATCCTTATTAATAAATCTTCTTCATCTCTAACAGCAACAGCTTCAAGACTTAGGTGGTGGAGGTCCTGTCAATATCTGGAGACATGGAGCTGAGACCCACCGAATCTCTCCTAAGTACCCTCTTTGCCCCTCTCCCGCAAACCACTTCATGTCCCCTGCCTCGTGTTGAAGTGGGGATGGTAACACAACTCGTGGCAACTCAAGTGGCTGCTAGTTTAATCCACTTAATCCCATTTTCTTGCAGTAGTACACCTTGGAAGAGTAAGGAGGAGGTGGAAGAGTGGTTTCTCTCAAATGGAAAGAGGAGGGTCTTTTTTCAGTGTGACACAGAGGTCAGTAAAGAATTCTGCAGTCCTTCACTAAACATATATGAGGGGACAAAAGTGATTAGTTTCTATTCTCTTTCTCTGATGGCTTCAACTCTGTAGTTCCCAAAGGCACAAAGGAGTCAAAGAGCTCAGCCCATTAATAGTTAACTCCAGCCTAGAGCCAAGCAGCCCCTGAAGCACCCTTAATGACTGCCTCTCACCAACCCTCCCCAAAGAAACTCCACAGACGAAGTGGCTAACACCATAACCCCAGAGCATGCTGAGATGAGATGTATCTCCTGTCACACACGTTGCCCAGGATTTCTTCCCAGCTGTCATTGAACCAAGGGCCGCTTGACCAGCCAGTTTCCCTCTCATTGCTGCAAGCCCCCCAAAGGCAGTTCTGCTCTGCAAACCATGAGCAAAGGCATGTGGTATCATGTAGGTAAAAACCATCATTACCTGCAGACCAGATTCAGTCAGGTGTCACCATTGAGGTCTATGAACTTTTGTTCAGATGGAGGAGCAGTATGGCTTCCCTAGCTGGCTCTGAAGAAGCAGTAGATTTAATCCATTAAAATACCATCCCCTAATAGGCTTAATGTTAGAAATACTATCACCTGGTGACTACTGGCATCTCCTCTTCAGCTAACTGATTTTGTAGCCACGTGGGCCCAAATCATAGGTTTCTTAGGACACAGATTATTATAAAAATATGCTGTCAATTTGTCAATTTATTAGTCTTATGGAACATTTTAGCAGGTTGAAGAGTAATAATTTTTTCAAGAGGTATGGCCAGAAAAAAAAAATGGTACAGGAGGAACTGGTGTCAGTGGACCAACACAGCATCCTTCTTTAAAAAAAAGAAGAGCTCTAGAAATGTATGTGCAACATAAGATTTTTCAACAAGTACGCTCAGGTGTGACTCCAATAAATGTTTTCATATGCTATTATTTTGACATATATTCTGAAAACTAATCTTCTGTTCTCACTGTGCACTTTCCTTGCATAGTCATATTTTATGTTCTACAACAAAAGGAAATGTAGAGGAAGAAGAGGATTTATTAAGAAATCCACTTGCCTACAGTCCTTTTTAAAAGAGCAGCAAGGCCTAGGGTGCTATGCACATGAGCAGTTAGCTATTCTGGTAGGAAACACTATCCTGATTATCTCAACTTCTGTTATTTTGGTAGAATAAAAACATCCCCAGCAATTACTCTTTTAGGACCCCCCCCCACCCCGCCCCGCCGAAATCTCAGTTATACTGTTAACCCCATGCCATAAAGAGGAAGAGAATCTTACATGTTTCCTGACTGCAAGTATTTTAATGATTCAAACTAAGCTTGGCTATGCTTTAAACTAAACACATGGACATATGCCAAATGAATTTGCTAAGACAATGTTTCTTCCTTTAAGCGCTGTTAAGTTAAAACAAGGACTAGGCTATTGGGTAACGCTCATTAAATTGTTTTACAGCGGTGCATTTTCATTCATAGCATCTAGCAGCAGGCTGAATGCTCCTGGGTCTTGGAAATGAAACTGAATTTCTCCAGCAAACATAACACTCTACTGAAGTCTTCATCAAATATGTAGAAGTATCTGGCAAGTTGAAGTTACTCATGATCCTCTGAGAACTGTTTCACACGAGAGCAAATAGTTCATCCTCAGGAAGGAGAAAACAAAACCTTTTTGATTACTAAGAGACATTGCACTTGCAATGGCAGCCATACAGTGTGACTGCAGACCAGTGAAATTACCTCAAATGATACACATTTCCCTGCTGTAAACTGGATTTTCGCATTCCAGTGTTGCTTCTACTCACACATATACTTAACTGCACGCACCTGGGCAGTCTCATCGGAGCCAACAACGTATAGCTCACAGAGTAAAGTACTCCCACAAGTGATTTTCAGGATCAGCACTGTAACCTGCGCCTCTGTTCCCTGTTTATTTGCTAGATCAAATAATCCCTGGAAGAGACGCTACACCGTGACCTGCCTAACGCATGGAAAAATATCCATTGCTCGATAGGGCAAATCTCTCCTTCTACAGTCTTTGGCACAATGTTGGCAAAGCGTTTCCAAAGAACACGTTTAGGCGTTCGAATAAAACCATTTAAAAAGCTGGATCATTCCCACAATGTGTATTTCTGACCTGTGCGCACGTGCATGCCTAAGTGCATACCAACCACAGTCCTGGGTATCTGTGGTGCTGTGGCAGAAGGACAGAAGTGACCCAGGACCTACGACCCCACCGAACACGACCCAGCTAATGCAGCAAAATCGCCTACAAATTATTTCTCCGATATGTGCAACCCCGCTCCCCTCCCCGAGTAAATATAATGGGTTTCCTACGTCAAATTTACTAGGGAGTAGCTCACAACCGCACACAAATAAACCACCAAAGACAAAGGAAACTTCCACGAAATTACAAAGCCCTGCAATTTGCATAGTAATTCTTTCTAATTAAGAGAAGAAGATATAAGTTGTTTGTTATAAACATCAGCAGGCCCTGCGCAAATACGAAGGGCTCGCAGCCGAGCCGAGTATTTGCCGAATCAAAGCGACTCGCCGGAGAGTTTTATTGGTACAGCTGCGGCGCATGCATTTTATCACACATGCTAATAATCCTGGTTATGGCACTAACATTTTAATCATTTGTTCTGTGGGCTTGTTTCTCAAACAATTAGCACTAATGA